GGTCCCATTGGAGTTTTCTTCAAGGAAAAATGGCAATGTGGATTATCTACTAGGGATTTGGGAGGCAGTATTTATTAAGGCGTTGGAGCCATCTAGACACGCTGAAGGGTAAATGTAATTTGAGCTGGGGAAGGGAGAATTGTCAAGTCTGTTCTAAGGGCTATAATTTTATGAACTCAAAATCCTGCTTGTATGGGGGAAAACGGAGTCCTGGGAGAGACGCCAGATGTCAAGGACAGACCTGGTCAGAGGAGGAACATCTCTGTAGCCAACTGCCTCCCCAGGGCTCCCGGAACAAAGCGTGCGCTGTGGCCGCTGCCTGAGACCCCGTGGCAGGGGGAGCTTGGAGCCGGGGACTGGCTACTGGGAGCAGGGGGCAGGGGCCACCTGCAGGCAGGACTTGGTCCACTCATCCTGATGAAATCTTCTCTCCTGATGGGGTCTCCTCAAGCAGACACAGAAGGAAATTTAGGACATCTTTGCCAAAGTAACCAGAGAAAGGGAAGCTGGCACAAAGTTAATCATTAGCTTCTTCTTGGCTCTCCAGGCCGGAGACATCAGTGATGGGAACAAGAACACTTGCCGTCAGCCGCACAGGCTCTGCAGAGATGGGAGCCCCCTTCTTTGTAAACAAGCAACCCAGAAACTGTCCAGTTGTGCGGGAGTGCCTGGGTGCCTGGGTGCCCGCTGATGTGGGAGGTGGTCAGAGCACAGAGCTGCTGCTCTCTGCAAGGAGAGGGGCCTGACAGCACCCCGACTCCCTGGCTTCTATGAGAAGCAGCACTGCCCTCCAGAGAAAGGGCCTCTTGGGGGAAGGAAAAGCCAGGTGGGAGAATTCATTGCCAATGCGGTGGGTTAGTCCAGGGAGAGCCTGGGAGCTCCCCGGGAAGGGGACGTCCTGGGACTGACCTGTTTATCATTTGATTCGCCTCCTAGGTGGCTCTGGGCGCATATCAGCTCAAGATCGGCGAGGCCAGTCTCTGCATCTGCAAGAGCTGCTCCCTGCAGACTCAGGGATGTGACCAGGCAGCCTGGGTCCTGGACAGCCCTCTCCTTCTGCATGTCCAGGGGAAGTCACCCAGCCTCTCTGCGGCTGCATTTCCTTACCTGTAAAGTGCAAACAGAGCTAGTCGCTGCCTCACCAGTTGCTGTGAGATTTGAACATGCTGGCATGGGTAATGAGGTCGGAAGTCTCTGGAACATAGGGCCCTTCAGTGCAGGTTGCACAGGACACCGTGCGGCAGTGCTGGAGACCTCAGCCTCTGCTGCAGCAGCTGCTCCCGGGTCTCCCGTCTCTGGCCAGCCCCTGGGGCCTTGACCTGGTCCAACTCTGCCGTGCAATGAAGCTGACAACCTCCTGACGCTGTATGGCTCACCCCTGCCCAGAACACCTCTCTCTGCTCCCTGATCCCTTGAGGAGAAGAAGAGATTTCTGTCTGGTCCTTCACATCTACTCCTGAGTCTCGGCCAAGCAGTCCCGCAGGCAGCTCTGAGGAACCCCTGCAGCAGCAACCTACAGACCCCCAGGATGCAACACTGGCTTCTCCTGCTCCCTCTCTGTCTCTTGGCCCTTCCTAGCAACACACCTTCACTGGCCTGGAGCCCACCTTGTACCTCCAGGTAGCACACACACACCCTCACCTGCCTGAGACCTGCACCTGAGCTGCACACCTCTCTGTTTCTATTTTTACTTTTCAGGCTTGGTTACTGTGCCTTCATGCTCAGTCCTGCCCCCAGGACCTGCCCCACCTTCTTGCACCGAGCTCCTGCTGCTGGTGACCGATGGTGGCCCGTGGTGGGGGTGCCACCATCAGCAACAGCAGAGAAGCTGAGCCCTATGGGAAGCTGTGGCCTCAGGACCCTGCCCTACTGAACCCGTTCTCAAGGCCCAGCACAGTCCCCTCCAGGATGACCTGCCAGGCCTGGAGAAGAACCTGCTGCTGGAAAGTCTTCCAAGAGCTGCGAGAGTCGGAAGGTGCGTCTTGATGTTGCTGGTTGTCCAAGCAGGGAGACCTGTGTCCATGTGCCACTCACCCCACTTGGGAATGACGGAGGACCCTGTCCTCGTCTGTCCAGGTCCCTTCCTGCCCCCTTCTATTTCTTGCAGGCCTCACTAAGGCTTAGCTACCTTAGGCCTCTCCCTCCTTTATGCCACCAGAGGAAAGGCCAGAGGACTGGCCACAGTGCACAGGCCCTGGGCCGGCAGCACCTGCCAGTGTCAGCACACGCATAGTAAAGGCAGGGCTGGCGAGAAGCACCGGAGGCCGGACCGTTCATCTCAGACTCCCTCGGTCCTGCTGGGAGGGAGCCCCGACCGTGCAGCAGTTCTTGGGGGAAGCGAATGAGACAAGCCCAGCCTCCTCTCTTCCGCACTCCACGGCTCACCCCTAAGGCTCTGCAGTAAGACATGCTGCTGGTAGGCCTTTCTCTACAAATAAATTCTGGCCAGTGCAAGAGATGACAGGCACACAATTTCTCACCGATCGGCTGTCCCTTTGCTGTCTTCTAGAACCCAAGCAGCACAGAAAACCATCAGAAAGTTCCATCACCCCTTCTTCTGAAAAGAATGCTTTTTATCCCCCTTCTTCATAAGAAAGATGACTTTTAAAATGTCTCCTTTGATGTAGTTATGTTAGTCCAGAGTGACTGACCCTGCACTTGGGCTGGCCCCAGCGGAAGGGGTTGCAACCCTCTGAAATGGCAGTTAGCTGCTAGCCTGTGCGCCGCTTGTTTGTTTGGACAGAAACAGCCGTTCTGCACCATCTCAGCCCCAGCTCTGAGGATCCCTGTGCAGCTTTTATTTTTAAACTTCAAAGTTTGTCTTAGAGTTAAAGTTCTATGTCCCCATGAGATTTCTGAGGGCTCTGCACGGGTGTGAAGGGATCACGCAGGTCGCAGATAATTCCTTGCAACCTTAGCGGCGCTGAGGCCAACAAATAAGAAGCATTCGTGAAAACCTGAGCTGGAACGGAGATCTGCGAAGCCCGTTTGGTAGAAGGGGAAGCCGCCTACTGAGGCCCTGCGCCAGTGTGGGCTGAAATGTCCCCAGAGCCATTTGTCTGTCACATCCGCCCACCCCAGAGGGACTCATGCGAAAGAGAGCCTCCCCCTGCAAAGTGGGGGGTCAAGTGCCCCCAGGGTCCCACTTCTGTACTTAGACTTGGGTCAGACACTCATAGCACACTGCTCCGCCCACTCCCAGCCCCCACCGGACCCCACCCAGCCTACCCCCACTTCCCGTCCCCAGGGGAACCTACCATTCCTCCCTCCCCTCCCCCTCCCTTCTCCACCACCCTTCTCCCACATCCCCACTGCCTTTTCTATCACACAGACTGTAATTCCCATTTCCAAGTATCCCCCGGAACCCCTTCCAGGCCCTCTCTGTAAACTGCCATGCCTCCAGACCCAGACATACCATGGACCCCACTTCTAGAAGCATCTGAAAAACCCAAGAATAGCTTTCAAGCTTTCCTGCTCAGGACACACAGTTCAGTACCCATGCACACACACACACACACACACACACACACACACACACACACACACCCCTGAAATAAGTGTCACAAAGTAATACTCCCTTGACTGCATGCACCATCTTCTCTTACTTTTCTGTCCTCTTCTCTCCACCTCCTGCCACAACTACATTTAAAACCTCCTGGCTGAAATCCCCTGAAGTGATACTCTGGTTCCCTACTGTTTTACCGTCAGCAGTTTGAAAACCATTGGCGGTAAGACTAGTGACAGTGCATGGAAGTTCCCTCCCACTCCCTGAGTTCCCACAGACCCTCTGCTCCTGCCCGCTGCCCCACATCCCACCTGCCACTGTGGTGAAAGAGCAGGTTGCCATCTCTAAACCTCCCTTCCACTCAGGGACTGACTCCGTTAGGACTGAGCGGGTGGGGGCCCAGCACAGAGTCCGCGTAGGCAAAGGAAGCTTGCAGTTTATGTGTCCAGGAGTTCTGCTTCCCCAGGCTTAGTCCAGACCTCAGAGGCAAAGGGAGAGGAGGGGGAGGGGGACGAGGACCTGCCCGCCCTCCTCCTCAGTGCAGAGGGCTATCCATGCCACCACCGGTTGCCCACGTTGCCCCAGGTCCGTCTGCCGAGTTGAGCCCTGGCTTTTCTGTGACAACCTCTTTCCCTTCTCTGTCCCTGCCTCCGTCCTCCCTCAGACCACCCAGCCTGTCAGCAAGTGGTTCTGGGGTTCCCACTGTGGTGCAGGAGAGACTCCAGAGGAGGGCAGATGGCAGTCTCCTCTCTGGAGCTCCGTGGGCCTCACGGTTCCCACACGGGCATCATGTGGGTGTTCAGTGGAGAAGAAAGGCCGTCAGGATGCTCTCAGGGCTGAGGGTCAGAGGTAAGCCCCCGCCCACTGTCGTGGTCCATTGCGTCTGTGAAACACCCATGGCTGTTGTGTGCACCCGTGGCATTTCTAGGGCACACTGCCTGCCGGAGTGCACATTCCTTGGAAGTTGTCAGTGGTGTAACTGAGGGTGCCCACGGGCTCTCTCCCCAATCTGCCACCCCTCCTCTGAGCCCCGTGCCTTGCCCAGCAGTTTAGGGAGTCATCTGTGAGATGGGGTGAGCTGAGACCTCCTGTAGCTTCCCTGCCTAACCCATAGGAGTGCCAGGCCCACAGGAAGGGGCCTGTGGGCATTCGCAGAATCGTGCACCTGGTCCCCCAGGCCTCTTTCCAAGTCAGATTCTTCCCAGACCAGTGTCAGCCCATAGAACTTGAATGTGGGCCACGTGTATCATTTTACACTTTCTAGGAGCTATGCTACAGCAAAAAGAAACACATGAAATTAACCTCAGTAATATGTTTTATGTATATCAAAGCCATTATCAATTTCAATGATAGTCGGTATAAAATTATTAATAAGGTTTTTTTTTTTGGCTTGCACGGAATCTGTGAAATCCAGTGCATGTTTTGCACTGCAACATGTCTCGACGTGGAATTGTCACCCCTCAGGTGCTCAGCAGACACACGTGGCTGCAGCTGCTGCCGGAGGCAGCAGGTCTAGCCTCCCGCAGGCCTGGGGGTGACTGCACAGGGGTGGGGCTGGCTCGGGAGGCAGGCGGCAGTGATGCCATCGTGCCACAAGTCATAAAGCAAGCCGCCTCTGGGGCTGTACTGCCGCAGCCCCTTCCTCTGTCCCACAGTCCTCCTCACTTGCCTCCCCACCAGCTCTGTCTCTTGTGTGCAGCACGCGCAGTGGGAACAAAAGGGACTGGGTGAGGACTTTGAGATGTGTGCGCAGCTGTCACGGACCATCTGGCTGCCCTGGAGTCCCTCTAACCCCACACCCAGCCGAGCCCCATTACCTGCAGAGAGCCCACCTGTCAGCGTGATAAAGGTTAGGGATGGCTGAGGTCCATGACTGTATCCACGCTATGGCTTCTGAAGACCTGCAGCCTTCCACTAATTCAGGCTGTCTTTTCTGGGGCACTGGAGATACGTACAGATTGGCAATTCAATGTGAGCTCATTTTATTAGAAATAACCAACCGTATGGCACTTAGTGATGCGTCAACGTGCCTTCTTACCATCGGTGCTGTTCAGGCTGATCAGCTAGGAGTTGGGTCCTGGGGCTGACCTCCTTCACAGGAATGCATTTCCTTCCTGGGGTGAGTCAGCCTTTACATAAGGAGCCGAGCGCAGTGCCAGCTTCCCACATGCTAGGCTGCTGGCACCCCCAACTCCAGAATGTCAGAGCCAGGACCCTCTGAGTTCTCTCCTAGTCCTGGAGGTTTTAACTTTCTTTCAAATGAAAGCTTATGGGGGCCGTGATAAAGATAGATACACCTGCAGGAGCTGAGAGGAGGGTACATAGCTCCCCACCCCAAGCCCCTTCCCAAGTAGTCCTGTGTGTGCAGGGCTTGCTTGGAAACCAGTGATTCTAGGCAAGCCACTTATTGCACAGCCCAGAGGAGTGTGGGGGATGTGGTCATGCCACGCTGTCACAGAAGTCAGAATATTTTAGTACCATGTTCTTCCAGAAAGTTCTATGAAAGATCATTGCAAACAGATAAATGATCTCTTACTTAGAAACAAACTATTGAGAGGATGGTTAGGATTTTTTGACAGCTTTAAGGGAGGTATGCTCTATCACTGAGAGCTTCCTACAGTGGATTTTGCATATATTGTCTTTTCTTCTCACAATGATCTAATACTGTGGCTGTTGTCTTCCATTTACAATAGGAAGGGCTGAGGCTCAGCCGTGTAACCCATGCAGGGTTACGCAGCCCATCAGCAATGGCGGTCGGGTTTGCACTTGGCCTGACCAGAACCCAAGTTCAGATGCTGCCTCCCACACATCTGCTCCGCACAGAAGCGCCATCCTTAGCAGCAGTTAGGTGCCATGCCAGCCCACAGGGTGAGAATGGTGTTGCAGCCTTCGTCCACACACTGTCATCCCCACCTGCCCTCAGGACCTGGCAGCTGCTTAGCTTAAAGCCCCGACTCCTGCACCTGCCACGGGCTCAGGCCTCCTGGGCTCCCCGTGCCCTGAGCCCCTCTGAGGTCCTGAGTCGATGGAGTCTGGACACCTGAAAAGATGGGCTGGCAAGGAGATCAGGCCTCCGGGGCTGTGAAGCTGGGGGAGCTTTTAATGCAAGAAGGGGCGTCACGGGGCTCTGGGGCTCCTTAGTGACAGCAGAGGAGGGTTCTAGAGGGAGGTGTGATGTCAGGGAGGACATGCTGGGGTGGGAAGGCAGAATCCAATATGGGGCAGCGCTCATTAGTGATGTCTGTGGGTCAGGGATGGCCTTTGTGTCCCAACTCCATCTGGGGGACTGTACGTGGCAGATGAGAAATGGGCCATTCGGCTGGTTCCTGGGCAAAGGCCTGGCGCTGGACCCTGGGTACAGCCATGACATCTGCTCAGAGCGCCTCCGGGGACATACCCACCCCCGTCTGCCTCCCAGTCCCCTCAGAGTGTCTGACCAGCTGTCCCAGTGGAGCGAAGGAGGCTGGGCCAACATCAAAGGCTGCCGGGCGCAAAGTAGGGCTGGTGGGATTGGCAGGGCATTCCGGAGGCCCTAAGGGAGGGGCCCGAGCCGGCTGGCCCAGGACCGGGCAGTTGGTGCCGCTCTGCCCAGGCGCCCACCCCGGGTGTCTGCTGGGCCAGGGGACCCGCGCCAAGGCAAACACTGTGCCTGAGCTCACTGGTCTGAGACTGCAGTTCCGATGTGCTATCTGACATGTGGACTTTGGACGGAGGACTGAACCGGAAAAAAAAATAAGCATGAAATCTTGAAACAAAAGAAAATGTTAACTTGAGCCATTTCACTTTATCTTAGAGCTGTTCAGATCCCAACATTGCTAATGGAAAAGCCAGGGTTTAAACGGGCCCTTTGGGAAAGAAGTAAAATGGGGGATTTCCAGAAATGGATAAGGAGGTTAGAGTCTATAGTACATTAAAATTTTAAAAAGAAAAATAATGGTAAGTACCAGCTATGGGAGTTGATGTGAACTCTGACCCAAGGGGGCTGGCGGGTGCAGCCCACCTCCCTTCAGCTTGCCAGGATTCAATTTCACGTCGGTGGCTCCATTTCCTTTTTCTCTTTCTTGGTTGCAAAGGTTTGGAAAGTGAGGGGACAGCGTGGTAAGGAGGGCAGCAAAGTGTCCTGCTCTGCAGACAGCAGACTCCTAGAGGGCAGCGCCCCAGAGGCAGCAGGCAAGCCTAGGAACACCAGTGCCTTCTTGCGTTTCCAGGGCACAGAGTCACATTCTTCCTTCATGTACTTGTCTTTCCCTTTCTGGAGAAAGAGCAAAAATGGGTGAAAGATGTTAGGTGCCTGTGCAGAGAAATGAGGCCTAGATGATAAACTGAGACCGGACCTCAGAGAGCTTTGCAAGTGAGAAAAGTAGGACCTTATTCTGCAGGTGAATGTAGAGAACCACCTTCAGATCTCGAGGGATCTACCTTCTCATGAGGGAGACAAGCAACTGCCTAACAGGTTAATCACACTGTTCCTGGGCCCTCCCGGGAGAAGTAGGAGTTGCTCTGATAACAGAGTGAGGACAGGACTTCCTCTGTGGCTACCAAAGGAGAAGGCCCAGATTTGTGGTGATGGAGCCTGAGTTTAATTTTGGAAATGTTAAGTTTGAAGGGTCTGTAGATGTCAAGTGGCAGCGAGAAGTAGGCAGTTGAAATTTGGTTAGCGATTCCAATCTAGAGCTCAGAACAGGGTGTAATTAAAGCTCTGGGCAGACACGATCATTCGGGGCGAGGATAAAGAGAGACGAAAGGGTCTGGAATGGAGGCTTTGTATGAACATTTACAAATTACGTAGAGAAGGATGAATCAGCAAACAGAAATGAGGAGGCCTGTGGTGTCTGCCCATTAACCACGATTCCCCAGAACCAAACCTGGTGCTTCGTGCAGAAGGAGTAATCAATAAACAAGTGTTTATTGACTTAATAAATATGTTATCTGGGCTCTCTTTTTCCAGGAAGGGAAACTAGGCTTGTGTGAGTCAGCTACTGCCTCAATGGTGCTGCGTAACAAGTGACCTGAAAGCACAACTCTCCAGGCTTCACACCCAGCTCCAGTCTGTTCCATGTCCCTGTTGGGGGCTGAGTCTGGGGCACAGCATTACCTCTGCATGCTTTCTCATGGCACCCACCTGAATGTCAACACCATGTCACAGACACAGCCGGATGCAAGAGGCAGTAGATGAGAAAGAGGATACACGTGAGCACCAGAGCCTGAGGGATTTGGGTTCAAATCTTGATTGTGCCACTAATAGAGGCATGAACTCAGTCAAATTACCCCATTTATTTAAGCCTCATTTTCCTCAACTGTAAAATGGGTAAAATAATAGCTACTTTTAGGAGTTTTGGGGATCAAACATAACACACATGAAGCACCTAGCACAATACTTGACACATGACAGGTATCCAATAATCGGTAGCTACTGTGGTCTGTGACCTCGTCCTCTGACCTCGGCACTGCTCCAATCAGACCTCCTCCTGAAGTTTGGTGGGAAAGTCCACCTTAAACAGGACCTCCAAGATGTCCCCAGGAATGGGGAAGGAGAAGGAAAAGCTAAAAAGGAAATGCCGTGGCAGAGTCCCACCCAGCCATTAAAGACCAAAGATCCCCCAGACTTGCAGGACCTGCTAATTAGTTCTTATCAGTTCCAGACCCACACTTGTGCTTGAAACATCCTTACAAGAAATCCTCTTGCTTCACAGGCCCAGCCTTTAGTTCTTTTGCCTGTGTCTTGAATGAGACCAAAATATTAAAGAGGAATAAAATTCTACAGGCAGACAACTTTTCCAAATGTTACTTTTCCCAGATTGCACTTGAACTAGACCTTGGCCTGAAATGCAATATCCAGAGCTTCCTTTAAAGCTTATGAGGCCTTTTTCTGAACATGCTTATGTAAAGATGAAGAGATGATGTGTTCATAAGATCCAATGAAAGTTCTGGTATCAGCCCAGGGCTTATCCATTGAAGGCTATTTTCTCTTGTCCTTACCCACTATTTAGTACATTACCAGTACAGCAATTAGGGAAACAGATGATATGTGTTATCATCACCTTGATTTCATGACTGTTCAATATATTTTTCTTTAGAGCTTAAGAAATGTATTTCTAATAATCAGCATTCTTTCTCAAATCCTCAGCAACAGGTTTAAGGTGACATGAATTCACTCATTTCACAGGTATTTATCAAGCACCAACATATGCAAGTCACTATGCTGGGGCCTGGGAAGTGAGCAGTAAATAAATTTGCAGCCACTGTCCTCAGGGAGAGAACTAGGTAAGGAAACAGAGGCCCAAAGAGTGTAAATTTGGCCAAAGTCATACCACAAGTTTGAGCTGAGATGAGAACATTGTATATCCTAATGGGACCAGCTACATAATTTGCAAATGTGGTGTATGAGTTTACGGGGCCCCTTGTCCAAAAATTAAGAGTTTCAAAACATCAGCAGCAGAGCATTAAACCAAATGCAGGGTCCTTCTGTCTCATGGCCACACAGCTGGCCCTATTCTTTGGATCACATTTTTAAATCAGTTTCTACTAATTCCATAATTAAATGCGCATGAAAGAAAAAGGGGTTTGTTATAGAGTAAAAAAATGGAACCACCAGTGATACCTAAGATAAAGAACAAACAGGAAACCGACATATGGTATTTCTGTCTGCCAGCCTGTTGTCAAAGTTACAGGCTTAGATAGAGTCCTGCCTTCATAAATCCTTAGCAGCACAGCACCCAGCTTGAATTTCTGAATGCTTCCATTGCACACAAAAGAGTTAGGATTTGCAAACACACTTGCTTCTCTGTGGACGAATTCTTAGGAAAAAGACCTTACATGAATGGCCAAACCAGCCCAGTGCAAAAATGATCATACACTGGGGTACTGGCAGGGACGGCATCTGGGGTCTCTGATTTCTGTCTTTTAAAAGAGAACATCAACTACCAAAGGAAGGAAGCACCAAGAAGCTCCATCCTTTGGTTGAGATCGTGTGCCCAAGTCACACCGATTATACCAGCAGGCTCTGCCCTGTTTACTGCCAGGGATGCATCCCTG